GAGTGAAGCCCGTCAGGAGTCTGTCAGCCAGTCAGAGCGAGCGAGTCAGTCAGTCGAGTCAGAGGCAGTCCGAAACAGAGTCGTGTTCAGACAATTAATACTAAACCTGATTGTTCGTACTAACACTTTCTACTTCTCTGTATATATTCCTGTTTGTAATATATCTGAGTTATTCCATATACGTGTTCGAGTTCTTCTTTATTGGTTCTACCTTGGACTATCACCGTGGTATAAGGAACCGGACCATAACACTTATAATTAGGTTTCATCTGGTTCCGATAGAATAAGTTAATGGTGTCTTTATTTTTGTTTGCATCAGGTTGGTGTCTTGCGGCATTTTTTTCTCTAAATTTCGTTAAGGCTAACTTTATTCGTTCATCAACGATATGGTTGGGGAAGTTATTGTTGATAAATTTTTATTTAATGTGGCTTAGTTCTTTATAGAATAATGTGTCCGAAGAAGAGATTATTTTGGCCCAGATAATCATAACGTTTATTTTGTATTTGTGAGGACATTCACTTTTCTTGTTGAGGAGGCAGGAGTTTCTTTTCTTTTTCTTTTCTTTTTTTTTTTTTTTTTTATAAAGAGAAGTGATAAAATCATAGCAGTTAACGTCAACTAATATGCCGAGGAAATGGATTTTATTATTGAGTTCGTAAGTAAAATGGAGGACGCAGTTATTCTTGAATGTTTCCGGAAAGTTATTTTTCTTCTAGGCTTTTAGCTAATATGAAAATGTACTTGTATCGTGCAAAAAAGAAGTTTACGTAGCACAGTAAAATGTAAACCTTCGAGAATAACACCTTCCTACACTTTACTTACGAACTGATTTTACAAGTACTTCCTGGAACGGTAAACAAAAGATTATGTTGTACGTGATCAGAAAGAGTAGAAAGAAAAGGTACAGCTTAGATATAAGAGAGTGGGAGAGGGGTAGAGAGAGAGACAGAGAGAGAGAGAGAGGGGGAGGGATAAGAGAAGGGTGAAATAGTGGAGTAGAGTTAGCTAAAAAAGAAAAGAGGAGTGGGCAAAAATGTGAGAGGGGGAGAGAATGAACAAATGAGAAGGGGAAAAAAGATATAGACAGACAGAAGAGTATAGGAGTGATAAGACAGAGAATAACGCCGAAGATATTAAATATATGATAGATAATTAACAGACTGTGGTAGATAGATAGATAGATAGATAGATAGATAGATATGAAGGGAGGGAGGGAGGTGGAGGAGAGAAGAGGAAAGGAAAGGAGAGTGAATAAGTTAGTATGCCAATTATATCATTAAATGCTTTCTGTAGTAAGTCTCTCTAAGGGGTTGAACATGTCTGCATCGTCTTCAGTTGTTTCATTTTAAGGGAACGATTTTCTGGCTGGTTTGTGCTTTGTTCGCTTTGCCACCCTTCGACACACACCGACACGCTCGACTTGCCTGCTAAGGATTCAATCTTTTTTCTGCCCATCAAAAAAACAAAAAAAAAAACAAATCATGTTTCTAAGTTGGGCATGATTTTTAAGAAATTCAAAATGGTGTGAGTGAGTCGAGCGCCCACTACCCACTACGAAAAGAAATACGAAACAAAACAAAACACCCATCAATAAATAAGCACGTGCATTTGATAGCATACAGTTTCGTGCTCCGACCATGAGACACGGGTTCGAAATTTACTGGTCATTTTGTCAGGGGTGTGATTTTTCTTTGACGTTGTTGTTCTATGGAGAGTGTACCTCGTGAGTGAAATTTGTTGTTGGTTGCGCTAGTACGAAGTCACACAAGTCATCGCCACTGATATATATATATATATATATATATATATATATATATATATTTTAGTTGGATAGATGTGAGTTTGTGACCCTTGGTTTCACGCTTTAGCGATCGTCAGACAAACTCACATCCATCCAACCAAATATGTTAGCTCTATCTCTGATATTGAGCGCTTTCTAATAAGTACCGCGCATATAATATATAAATAATTATACATACTTATATTTATTTATATTTATATACACTTTTCACATATATATATATATATATGTGTGTGTGTGTGTGTGTATGTGTGTGTGTGTGTGTGAAAAGTGTGTGTATATAAATATAAATATATATATATGTGAAAAGTGTGTATATAAATATATATATATATATATATATATATATATATATATATATATATATATATATATATATATATATATATAATATATATATATATATAATTATTATTTATATATTATATGCGCTGTACTTATTAAAAGCGCTCAATATCAGAGATAGAGCTAACATATTTGGTTAGACAACAGCACACATATACATACATATGTCAAATCCCATACTGTCCACATATGTTTATGTCTGTATGAGCCTCGGCGGACGAGCAAGTGTGTATGTGTGTCTGCGTACCTCATCGGGTGTACGGACATGCATCTATATTTGCGTTAGCATGAGTGACATCACGACGACGATTCCCACCCCCACTTCCATAATAACACCAATACACGCAATCTACATAACCCCAAAATTTAAAAAAATTAATCAGTTTGTCTGACGATCGCAAAAGCATGAAACCAGGGTCACAAACTCACATCAATCCAACCAAATAAATATATATATATATATATATATATATATATATATATGAAAAATTTATCAGAGTTAACCTGTAGAAAAGACACTACGTATAAAGGTAAAGACACTAGGAAAACTGTATTATTAGCCAACGCGTTTCGTCCAATGTGAACTTTTTCAAGACAAAAAACGATTATTATATATATATATATATATATATATATATATATATATATATATATATATATATATTGAACAAATCACGTCGGCTAATAATACAATTTTCCTATTGTCTTTTTACCATTATACATGCACCTCCCACACACATATATATATGTAAAAATTTAAAATGGGGTATCTCTGTAAAAGGAAAATGTGAATAAAGGCAAAAGAAAAACTAATCTTGTGTGTGTGTTAAAAAGTATATTTGCACTGAAATACAAGCGTATATATTCTTTTCTAAATTTGGAATTTCTCATTCTATCAAAATTTAATAATATGCTGAAAGGAATTAATATATCCGGTATTGAAAAAATAATTAAAATTGATAGAAACCACAATACTTTCATCAGTAGGATACACAAATGAAGTAAAATTTGCAGTATATATATATATATATATATATATATATATATATATATATAGTCCGTCTGAATTAACCGTTTATACTGTGACAAACATTTTCCAAAAGCAAATTCGATTTATTGAAGTTTAAGTGATTGGCATACAGACTTTATATATATATATATATATATATATATATATATATATATATATATATAGCCATCCACAGACAGACTGTTTCGCTGTATTACAGCTCAAGACTGTGGTTAGACATCCGATTGTTTCAAGCCGGGGTCGAAATCCGACCGATTTGGTATTAGTCAGAGATTCTATCCCCAAGCTATTGTCGCACGGCAGTGAGTAAGGGAAATTTTAACATCTTTACTATACGATAGACGCCTGTGGATATGAGAGCTCGATTCTAGTTGAAGAGCATTGCATTAGCAGCAGCAGCAGACACTGTTAATAAATCACCTCTCTCTCTATATATAGTCCATCTGAACTGTGTTATCAATTGGATACACGAATGAAATAAAGATGCAATATATACAAGTTCCAAAGCTCTGTGAATGATATTCATATGTGGAATTCTTCTGTTTAGAGAAAGAGGCAAAATATACACCTCTGAATACGTTTCTAACAGAAAATAGATAATTATAATCAACTAAAATTATTAATATTTTGTCCCTAAAGTAAATTAATATGAACGTTTTGACACTTGCATAATTCTCTAGTATGTTTTGAGTAAATATTTATTGTTACTTTACATATAATCATTGATGTAAATGAAAGTTTTTTTGCGGTTTAATAAATCCGACTTGTGACATCACCAGTTACATAAATGACTAATAAGTCGCGAAAACCTGGGGTATGATTCGTGAGAAAACATTTTAAATGGCTTGATACACCTCCAAAAACTCTAGATGACCAGAGGCTGGCAGATGATGTCTTCTTTGACCTAGCTCTAATAGCTCAGTCGGGGGAAAAAATGGCTGATTTCAATGTCCCGGAAACCAAACTAGTGACATTCTATCATCCACAAACGGACTCTGAATTTTCGCCCATTGCAATGAACTGATGTCCTCTCATGGAGGTCCGTGCTTCAATTCAACCCAAACCTCAAGTGGAACTTGTACATACGATCCATCGCTAAAGATGGTGAGAAAATGGACAGTTCCCCTGTAACGCTCCATTAAACACCTGTCTCTCCCTTCTATCGTCTGAATTTACAAGAGTCAGGTCAGGCCAAAAATGGGGGATTCTGCTGTCATAAATGGGCAGAAGCTGCCCAGTCTTCACTGTCCAGTTTCGTCAGAGTTCAAAATTATCCCCGTGTCCATGTCCGTGATGAATTATTTTTCACCCTACAAGCCACAGACGAAATGTAGCAAGCTTCTTTATCGCTATTTCCATGGAAAGTGTTTAACAGGTTCTAACCTTCACAGCTAAGACCCGCCATGCCACGCCCATTGTAGCGAATCTACCCTTCGTATTCCATTGGTAAGATGTAAATTCCACCCACGAACTGCTGCTTTGTGGAACCGACTCCTAAGAGGATGATTCTCCGATCACTACGAACTTATCCTGTTCGAATAGGCTGTTCGGTCTAGGGCTAACCGTTATCTTCCCTACATATACTCATCAGCTTTGCCTTTTACTTCTTATACTTTAAGCTTCTACCTAGAGTGGCTCTTGGGTTTTGTACAGGTTGAGCATTATTGTAAGAAAGAAAAAGCAACAAAAACACACACAAAGCCTTTCTATTAAATCACCATAAAAAAAATTCGACTTTTTACAAACTTGTAAGTACAAAAAGCTTGATTCCGTCGTTAAAGGTGACCGGATTTCAAATCATGAGGGTGGATACTAAACGCTGAATGAATGGGTGTGAACTCAATTTGAATCTGAAGGACAATAATTCAGCCTCTTTTTCTTTTTCTTATCTATTCGCCTTTTCAAATTTATCTCGCGATTGCTTCCCCACTTTCCCTTGCTTCCATTTTTTTTGTCTTTTTTTACTCTTTCGCTTCCGCCCTCTCATTTTTTTCACCATTCTAATACTCTTCTTTCTACCTTTATTCATTTTGCCTACTTCTTTTACCTTCTCTCTCTTCCACCCTCATACTCTTTTTTTGTCTTACTCGTCAGTCTTTCTATATCTCTTTGTACAAATGTGAACAAGTACACGATTCACTTGTCTCTTTGTACGCATGCGCCATGCCTGGATATCTGTGTGCGAGCGTATGTGAGAAGTTATCGATGTTTACGCGGGTTTATATAGGTTGGAATTAGTTCTGTCTTTGTTTGTGTGGACGCGTACCAATTGTTGGGCATGTGAAGAAATGTATGCATATAAATGTGCGTGTGTGTATATGTGTGCGTGTTTGTAAACCTGAAAGGGAAATTAACGAATGTTGTTATCTTCCAGTGCTGTAACCTCAGAGGAATTCTATCTATCTATCTATCTATCTATCTATCTATCTATCTATCTATCTATCTATCTATCTATCTATCTCACTCTGTTCATATCTATCTATCTATCTATCTATCTATCTATCTATCTATCTATCTCATTCTCTGTTCATATATATCTATCATTCTTTTTCTATGCGTAACAGTCTATCTATCTATTCATAATATATGCATCAAACATTTTCTATCTATCTTTCTATCTATCAAAACACAGTCTCTTCATTCTATCTATCAATCACATCTATCTATCTATCTATCTATCTATCTATCTATCTATCTATCTATCTATCTCGTTCTGTTCATATATATCTATCATTCTTTTTATATGCGTAACAGTGTGTAATATTCATAATATGTGCATAAAACATTCTCTATCTTTCTATCTATCAATCACAGTCTGTTCATATCTATCTATCTATCTATCTATCTATCTATCTATCTATCTATCTATCTATCTATCTCAGTGGCTATGTAGTTAATGAGATTTCCATATGTCCTTATAGGGGAACCTGATATATATTTTGACGATTTTATATGGAGGCATACTACAACATTTTGTTTGAAAAAGATTGATTTTATGCCCTATTTGAACCTTTGGAGACTTCACTGAGATACGCCATGCATTGATAATTGACTTTTAAATAAGATGAAAATTGTCCTTAAGTGATTCACTTCGAGAAGAAAAGTGTTAAAACAATTTGCTTTCAGAGATTCAATGAATGGAATTGTTGTAACCAACTTGACAAAGAGCATTCAAATCCCATCTCAACAGAGATTTACGAATTATTTAGGAAAATAATTAATTGTTGGAAATTGTTATCTCAGCTTCAGTCACTTTCCCACCGCCTTAACCATGCTTCCCAGTGCCTTTTCTATAAATAATTTCATGGTAATTGTTTAGATGAACTTTACTCTATGGAACCTAGGCTTCATGAATTTAAGCGCTGAAGTAATGGATAGTGGCTCAAATTGAGAAATCAAAGAGCCGAGTTCGAATTCCAGTCGAATCCATTACATTCACTTACGTGCTAATACCCTTGGGAAAGGTATGAATCCTCTTCTTCTTTCCCAGTTATGGATAAATAGCAGGACAGACCGGATTCTATAGCCTTGGATAGCAGCTGGTCTACCGCAGAAAGAAATGGCAACCTACTGCGGGAAAAAATCTGTCGCGTCAGTCATGTCTAGAAAGATAGATGATGGCCTAAGTGTGTATCACGTAAGGCACATAGCTGACTGACTGAAATTTTCATTTAAATTGGATAATTCCCTGATTTTTGGTAATTTTAAACAAGTCAGTCTGCTATGTGCCATGCCGTGATACATGCTAAGGCGATCATGTATAGTTCGAGGCAGATTTTTTCCCGCAGTAGGTTGCCATTTCTTTCTGCGGTAGATCAGATGAAATCCAAGAACCCGGTCTGCTATTTACCCATACCTGGGGTGAGAAGAGGAGGATTCATACCTTTCCCAAGTGTATTAGCACGTAAGTGAATGTAATGGATTCGAACTCGGTTCTTCGATTCCTCAATACGAGTCGCTATCCATTACACCACCGTGACTCCTTCAGTCAGTTATGTGCCATCCGTGCTACACGCTTAGGCGATCATGTATCGAAAGATACATGATTGATGAGGCAGATTTTTTTTTCTTGCAGTAGGTTGCCATTTCTTTCTGCGGTAGACCAATTGTCATCCAAGGCTATAGAACCCGGTCTATCCTGCTATTTACCCATAGCTGGTGGGGGGAGAAGAGGATTCATACCTTTCCTAAGGGTATTAGCACGTAAGTGAATGTAATGGATTCGACTGGAATTCGAACTCGGCTCTCCGATTCCTCAATCTGAGACTGCGCTATTTTGTATTAAAATACATACACAAATATATCTGAATCGATTTAAAGGAAGTCAATTTGCTTATTCTATTTCAAAGATAGGATGTGTGCGCGGTGTTAATTGATAGCTGATCTAAATGAGAAAATATCTTTCAATTCTTCTTAAAAAGCGCGGGAAAAAAGAAATACGGAATACTAGTCAGTTATATGCCATGCGTTATACAACGCTTAGGCGATCATGTATCGAAAGATGATCGCCTAAGCGTGTATTACGCATGGCACGTAACTGACATACTGTTAAATTTTCAAGCGATTTTTGGAATAATTTTTTTGAAATTTACTGAGGTTTTAAGCCCATACATTCTTGATATTAGTTACTAAGTTTACGGGGTAATTCAATCATTTTTACAAGGGGTGAAAATAAAACAGTACTAAGGATTAATTCTAAAATTAAATTTAGAGTTTTTAGCTTCTGATTTTGAAACATGGCAATTCCTGTGTAGCAATGTGATCATATTTTTAAATTAGTAAATTTATATTTATGCTCTGCAGAATTTAGCACTGTTTTTTTTTAAAATAAAAATAATTAATATGAACACTGGATTATAAATCTTACTGTCATTGTTTTAATTATATATATATATATATATATATATATATATATATATATATATATATATATATATATATATATATAAATGTAAATATAATTGTAATAAAGACAAATATTTATGGCAAGGAAAATGTTAATGCCAACTCGTTTTGTTCCTCAATGAACGAAATGACACTGCATAGAACATTTTTTTCCTGTCTTTTTAGTCTTTTAACACACACACACACACACGCGCGCGCACACACACACACACACACACGCGCGCACACACACATATATATATATATATATATATATATATATATATATATATATATATAAACTGTGTATCAAGCTTTATAGCAGGTTACATTTTTGTTGATATTTTGAATATTAAACATTGTGAAACGTGGTATACTGAAAAATTCTACGTAGGTAAGTATGAAGTGAAAATTAAAATACAAAACATAACGTTGTATGTAGCTGATCAATACGATTGAAATTTTCATTGCATATTTACCTTCTAATAATCTTTCAGTCTACTAATTTTCGCTATGTTGCACGTCACAAATGTGTCCTGCCCGAGTTTTAAATGTGAATCAAGTTTAAGCGTCTCTTTTTCTTTCAGATTTGGCGGACATTTGGGCGACATTATTCTTCAGACATAATTGCCATGACAAATAAAATGATCCAATAGAATAATAAATACATTTTCACCAATAACACTGATTTATTTATTACTGACTTGATCCATCTTAATGAAACACCCTGTATGTGCATATATATATATATATATATATATATATATATATATATATATATATATGTGTGTGTGTGTATATATATATATATATATATATATATATATATATATATATATATATATATATATAACTCTGGATAACTCCTGAATCATCATTCCTTCCCATGTTTGAAAACGAGAGAAAACTACATAAGATAACAAAATATTTCTTTTCTGTCGTATTTAATAACACATACACATACAGTATATATATATATATATATATATATATATATCATCTTCTTTTCCCTCCAGCTATGGGTAAATAGCAAGACAGACTGGGTTCTATAGCCTTGGATGGCAACTGGTCTAGGAGAAGGACAACTCTAAATTCAAAACCTGCGGAGCCTTGTTTGGGGACCATGTGGCACGTAGTGCACCAGGTCTCTGTATTCGGCCCTTCAAAAAGTGCGGATGGTCCTGCACGAAACCTTCACCAGTATAATCGAATCTCATGTGCTGTTGTCGGGCTATCGGTTTCCTGGGAACTGATCTGCTTGACCCTCATACATCGAATTCGACGGGAGAGTCGACTACATACATATATATATATATATTTATATATAAAGCAATGTATCTATTGGTCTGTACTTTCCAATTAGTTTTAGTGAAATTATATAATTTACACGTGTTGCTTAGTTAAAACTCATGTCGTTACTGGATATAATTCTATTCGGAAAATAAAATATCTCTTGTTTCGTGTTTAAATGACATAAGGCAATAAACTGTCCACCCGTGTTTCACATCTTTCTCTTTTTACTTTCTCTCATTTTTGAACGATGCCTTGAGATTTAAAAATGACTCTACTTTTGGTATTGGTCTCCTATTCAATGCGTTTGACTTTCGTTTAAAAATCAACCCAACTAACCAACCATTTTTAGCATAATCTTGTTTTGCTATTTACTGTCTCTGGCGATGTAATAAAAGTCGATGCGTGCCAAGTGGTAAACACAGTCAAACTGTGTCCGCATTTCTCCGTAAGACGAGATCAGTATCGCCGGCAATTTAATATTGGCAGTTATTGTTCAACAATAACAACAACAACATAAAACGCACATATTATGGCTGACGACTCGTTAAACGAGTATGATCATCGCTGACAAGTTTTATCCAAGTTGGTTTTAGTTTTCGTGAGAACAACAATGTCGCTTGAAGCCAGAAAGATACTTGCAATGATTATTGCACACGCAAAACTACAGTGTTCTCTACAAGGCCTAACCTACAGTATTTACATTATTCGGACTATTGTTCTCATCTTTGTCGCCATATTTATCACAACGTTTCGGCCGTTGTACGCTCCGGCTTCCTTCAGGTGGTTGGAATTTCGAACTGAACCCTTTATTTCACACACTGGGGTGGACTGTTCTAATTCCACGTGCCATGTTTGATGGATGTCAGTTATCAGTTATCTCCTGCTAATTTTCCCTCTGAAAGTTCTCCACTGCCTTAACCGTGTATTGAACTCACACTCTTTGGGTCTGTCACTGGATCTAACCAACGCCTTTTGCGTTAGTTGATCGGTTAGTAAGTGAAATTACTAAAATAGTTTAGTATAAATTTTATGGAGCTCTCCTGTCATTTTGTTCATTCACCGAGGTGGGGACGTTATTAGTTTTCATATGTAATTATCTTTATGCGTTTTCATCATCATCTTGCGGCCTCAGCCGAGATTGAACTCACTACACCTTTCCAGTATTCCTTATCTTCAATACTTTGATTGGTGCAGTTCATAATCTTGTCAAATAGCTGAATTCTTGATGCTTCGTTAGGGCTATCAAGGGTGTTTTTATCACCATCACTAAATGGATTGCCAACCAAGACTCAGAGAGACTCCATTCACCCTCGTCTTAGATCTTTGAAGGGACGAATACAGAGACCGGGTGCACCGAATGCCACAAGGTTCCCAAACGACCCTCCGCAGGTTTTGAATTCAGAGTTGTCCTTCTCCTAGACCAGTTGCCATCCAAGGCTATAGAACCCAGTCTGTCCTGCTATTTTACCCATAGCTGGTGGGAGAGGAAGAGGATTCATACCTTTCCCAAAGGTATTAGCACGTAAGCATTACTCCACCGTGCCTCCTCCCTTATGCGTTTTAAGGGTTGAGAAGTCGTTGGATTCTGGATATTTTTTTTCAGAATGTATAACTTATACTGTCGAAATATTGTTAAACACTCTGTTTTTTCTTTTTTTAAATTGCGCTCCTCGCTAGGTGTTGCAAAATAATGGAAGATTTACGTCAATCATCTTGTATAATAATAATAATAATAATAATTTCTTTTTTTGTCA